TGCGATCATTAAGGAGTATGCTAGGGCTGAATCTGAATGACAGGGTGAGAAATAGTGTGATAAGAGAAGTGTGGTTTGCAAGATGACGTTGTGACTAGAATTAAAAAAGTAATGCTTCGGTGGTTTGGTCACGTAGAAAGAATGAACGAGGAAAGAGTGACAAAGCAAATTTATGTTTCAGAAGTGAACGGCAAAGTCGGGAAGGCACGCCCTAGACGAAGATTTATCGACCAAATCGGCGATACATTGAAAATGGGCCAGATTAGGAGTACCCTTAACCGACGAGCGTGTAATATGCGTAAATATATGGATGTAAAGGAGGCGAGAGGTGTGTCAGGATCGCGCCAAATGGAAGTCCGTAATCTCTGCCTACCCCTCTGGGTGACAGGTGTGAGAGTTTGTGTATGTGTTAAAAGACTACCTCGTTGGTCTAGAGATCGTAAAGGCGATTGCTGAACAGTTATTGGGTTTTCTGTCAAGAAATTCCCATTAGCAGCCCGGAGACATGAAGTTGGCGCTTTTTCACCTCAGTGCCTCGGAAAGCACGTAAAGTCGTGGGTTCTGCGCCTGATTTCTCTCCGGTCGTGTCAGATTACCGTCCCATCGTACTATGAGAGTGAGGGGATAGGAAGTGCACCTTTGCTTGCGCGCATACACTCTCGCACTATAATCCCCGCAGTGGCGCAGACGACTAAGCAGTCTCCGTTGAGACTGGCCGCCGTGACCGAACTCGGTTTGGAGGTCAATATTATTCATGTATTTAGTACTCATAATTGCTAATGGTTGTTAATGGAGGTTACCGTCGGCTTCCAACGCACCGACAATTTCTGATGACATCGGTGGTACTAACAGATCAATTACTTAGGGAGATAATTATAACACAAACACTCACGCCTGTCACCCAGAGGGGTAGGCAGAGACTACGGACTTCCATTTGGTGATTTGGCGCGATGCTGACAAACCTCTTTTACATCCATATCTACGCATACACGCTCGTCGGTTAAGGGTACTCCTAATCTGGCCCATTTTGAATGTATCGGCGATTTGGTCAATAAACCTTCGTCTAGGGCGTCCCTTCCCGACTCTGCCGTTCACTTCTGCAACATAAATTTGCTTTGTCACTCTTTCCTCGTTCATTCTTCCTACATGACCAAACCACCGAAGCATTCCTTTCTTAATCCTGGTCACAACGTCATCTTGCAAACCACACTTTTCTCTTATCACACTATTTCTCAACCTGTCATTTAGATACAGTTTTTAATTTTTAAAACTGCCAACAATGTGAAAAGAGTAATTACGTACGTATGTAGTAGCATGATGGCTGATGGTTCTCAGTTATGTCAAAAAGTGAGGTGAAAAGTCCTCTTGTCAAGCTGTTTTATTTAATAGCTTATTTAGTTTAGTTAACAATAAGAGTAATATGGGATAGGCAAAGCATTGGTAAGCAATACTTTGCAAAAGCATTTTTCATATTCTGAATTACTTTATTGCTCTTAACTAGGGAAAAAAAACTATAAACAGTGCTGGTGTTATTGAATTTCAAAAAATAAGTGTTAATAACTGATAATCACTGTATATATAAATGATACTGAGTATTTAATAATTATATGTATGGGACAGCTACACACGGTTTATATGGTTCCTTTAAAAATGTTGTCTCCACAACAGGCTCAGTGTGGTTGAGCCATGATGCACCTATATCAACGTGGTAGAGCCATGCTGCAGCTATACTAATACAGAAATTAAATTATTTGTGTTGTAAGTTAAAGTTTGAGATAATCATGACCATGAAACTTAAATCAACTTGCTAACTTTTTGTTTTTATTCAAACCTTCCTAGCAGTTACTCAAGGTTAATTATAGTTGTTACTTCAATAATTACAGTTATATATAATATCATTATATTATAGTATAATATATATGATAATAGGCAATCAATTTCTATCATGCACTGTTGCTAGGGGTCCCTCAAGGCTCCATTTTAGGTACTGACTAGCTGTTCCCCATGACTTCGGTCGCGTGTTAGGGTTTTTATTTTTTTGCGCGGAACCCTAATTCTTTTTCTAAAATGAAAATAGCCTAAGTTACTCCTTATGACATCAGCTATCTGCCAGTAAAAGTCTCGTCAAAATCGGTCCAGCCGTTTCGGAGATTAGCCGGAACAAACAGACAGACAGACAAAAATTTTAAAAATTGTATTTTAGTTATAAGTACTGTATTTACTTTCATATGCATTTAGTAAAAAGCTGTTATTTTGACATTACAAACAGGCACTTCAATTTTATTTATTTGTATAGATTATTTTTAATTACCTGAAGACTCCGTGACGCAGTAGCTTAGCAATGAATTGCAATGCTAAGGACCGCTGGTTCGAATCCCTCATGAAACAATTATTTGTAAGGCCTATAAATAATTGTCCCGGGTCAAGATGTTTGCCGTTATGAAAATTATGCATGTAGTGATAATGCTGTACCCCGGAGTACACAGTACAGCAGCAAAACTTTTTTTTTATAGAATAAGTGTAATAAGCAAGCACACAGTCTACCTGATGGTGTTTGCTGTGGCCCATAGACATCTACAACTATCCTCATTGGTTAATCAAAATGCAGATGCATTGTCACCCGTGAGTACTAAGATGGAATGCCTCTTTTCCAGTAAAAAGGGGAGACCCTCAAAGGCTAAGTAGAGCCTGGAAAGGCAGCCACCGTTCTTGGCACGATATTACGGGAAGTAGTGGTGTATGAAAATTTAAATTCGGTTCTCTACACTTACCATATGAAACGCATCAGCATTAAGCTGCTATTTTACACTGGTATTCTGTGAGAGTGTAGTCCTTCCCCAGTCAAGCCGGCCCATTTGTGCTACAACTATACAATTAATATAGCTGCATCATAGCTCTACCACAATTATAAATGTGGAAGAGTGATGCCAACTTAATACTAAGTGGTTACTGCAGCGTCTAGGCATGTTTGTGTAGCCAGGGCTATTTACTGTCTTAGAGAAGCCATGCACACAGTTTGCAAAAGGCCTTTTGGTTAGCCAAAAAATATAAGTAATTTTATTTAATGGTGAATAATTATTCTAGTTTGCTATAAAAACATTATATAGGATAGGTCTAGTTGGGGGTTGATACGTATTTTTACAGAAAAGTTACACTATTATAAGCACACACACACAAAGTTACAACATGTGGAAACGTGTAATTTTTGAGAAAAAAGTTATTGAAAATCAATTATTCTTGCATTGTTTATATCTAATCCTACCATAAAAACTGACGCCATTTTGTAATGTCATTGTCGTCAATAGGGATGTCGATTCTTTCCGAAAAAAGTCGATTTTTAAATCTATTCAAACCGTAAGCTGATGTATCGATTCACAAAAAATCGATTTCTAAAATATCTATATTTTTTTATGTTTGCATTTATAATGTAAATATAATTCCATTTATGAAAAACAAGAAAGATACCATAATAAATGACCTCTTATTGAAATTTGTTTTATTTTAACAGTACCAATTAGGACAGATAACAAATAAAATAGGTTCGGTTCAACTTATGTCAAAGAACCGAATTGATTGACCCCGACTCCACCTGGTACGAGTCTGTCCTACCCCTAGAGTGGTTTTAAAGAGCCGGAGGTGCGTAGGGGGAGCAGTCTTCGCCTGCTGTAACAAATCGGAGGGATGCCTGCAATTTGTTACGCTAAGGCGTAGGGGCTTCTCTTCCCGCAGCGCCGAAGACAGCAGTCTCAAAATAATCAGTCCCCCTATATTTTATGATGAAGGGGATTTTTTTCTCATAAAATGGATTTATATTTACATTATAAATGCAAACATGAAAAAAATATAGATATTTTGGAAATCGATTTTTTTGGGAATCGATACATCAGCTTACTATTCGAATCTATTTAAAAAATCGATCTTGTTCGGAAAGAATCGACATCCCTACTGACAATAACAATAAAAAAATGGTGTCAGTTTTATTGTAGGATTAGACATAAACAATGCAAGAATAATTGATTTTCAGTAACTTTTTTTCAAAAATTACGTGCTTTCGCATGTTGTAACGTTGTGCGTGTGCTTATAATAGTGTAACTTTTCTGTAACAATATGTATCAACTGCCAACTCGACGGGAGTCAATGGAAAGTCGTACCCTCTTTTGTGACATACTATAGATATATTTAGGTAAGTTGTTAATCAACAATTTGAACCCATTTTTAATCGTAGGTCCTTCCAAAATAGTTTTTATTATTTAATCACTTCTGTTTACATGCTAAAATTTGCCACAAATTTAGTACATATTACAATAAAACTACAAAAACATGTTCAATCCAAGATGTGATATTTTGGAAGGTTAAATGAGGTAACACAAACATTAATACCATACTTTGTCAATGAGGAAGAAAAACTCTTTTTCCTTAAAAATAATTGAGTTCACAAATTTAATAATTTAATTAGAAAAATAAACGAATCATGATATTTTATACATTATTATTACAGAAATAATAACAGTATGCAATATTAAATAAAGACCTCCACTCTCCAATGCGCTTGCAGGATGTCTCTAAATTCAGCTTAAGCAATAAATATAATTAGTAATTAAAAAAACAAGTTATACTGAAATCTGTCTCACATTTGTGTTCATTATCTACAACAAAACACAAGAAATATTGGATAGATATTGTAAGCCCACTGTGGTCAATTGTATTTTATTAGAATTGCAAAAACCTTATTATAATTTCAAAATAGATGACCTTTTGTTACCAGGCCACGTTATAAAGGTATTATTTCCAAAGTTTGACTAATTGATCTTGGCTATTCACACGGAGATTGTGGTTGATTTGTGACAACAACGAATATTTATTGTACTTCAGTTTACGAATTTTATAAAAGCACATAAAAATGTTCATTAAAAACTTATTATGTCGGTATGAATCTATAAATTAATACTTTCTAATTTCTAACCTTCATTAGACCTTCATGTTAACCTCAAATTACTTACCCGGATTTTGATGCATTTGTTGCGACAATGCTATCGATTCTTAGTTTATTGGCCATATCCTTCAGAGCCTGAATATCTACATTCTTATCGCCCTTCATTTTGAAAAAGTATTGTTTGAAAACTGTAAAAAATTCTATACACCACGTTAACACACGACGCTACCGGCCACGCTACTCCACGCTTCGCAGTTCGCACTGGAATTTGATTTTGATGCCGGCCGGCTTATTTCAGGAAGTGCTACTAATGTCAAAAGTACTCTGTGGTTTCTACAGTTTCTACTATCTATGGTGGTTTCAGTTTTTTCTTCTTCATTATTTCTACCTTAGAGTATATAATTACAGTAGTATTGAGCGCGCATAGGTATTGCACAAATTGCTTAGTACGAATCGTAGGCAAATGAGCTATAGACACTTATATCGATGAGTGTATGACAGATAGGGATGTATCAATTACGTGCCGACCGGCATCGAGCTATTGATAAGTTATGTAAGTAAATATCTTTCGTTAGGCACCTTTTATGTTTAATAATTATGTTATTTCGTATGCTACTAAACGAGATATGTTTGTTTAGTTATTTATATATTTGTTTGTAATCCAAATCACAAATCAATTATTTGTAATAGAAATGTCAGAAAATCGAGTGGGCTTGTTAAATACTAAGGTTTATAAAATAAAATATCGGGTTTAGTGTTAATTTGTTATTAGTAAATAAATGTTATTTACATGAACTATATTGAATTTCAACATTTTTTAACAAACAATTTCATCCATTTTTGTAATAACATCCTATTATTTTTCGTAATATGTTGTTCTCCTAGCAAAAAATTCAAAAAAAAAATATTTTAAATACTATACTATACCGCTAGTAGACAGTTGATGCTTTTTATTCAATATAGATTATAAATAATACTTATTGAAAATCACTCTATTAAAAGGCCCACTTCTTTTAAAAGGCCAGTAACGCATTTCCCCTGGTGTTGCAGTTATTTATGGGCGGTGGTAGTCACTTACCATCAGGTGAGCCGCATGCTCGTTTGCCCCCTCTCCTATGAAAAAAAAATCTAGTCACTGAAAATTTCCCGGCTCGCTTCCCACCTATAGACATACCGGCGGACATCGACGCGAGGTAATACGACTACGACAGAATCCGTTTCCTCGGCCAGAGTAGTGAAAGTGAGCCAGATGAGGCTCTCGAATCAATTAAACGGCAAGAACAACAAAATGCTTTGGCGACATGGTGCACACGGCTGTATGAGGAGCGCTATAAACACCAACGTAAAATTGGAGTAATCTTGCCGGTCTGATTTCTGCTTCCAAACCCGCGGGATCCCAAAATCGACTTGACACCCGTGTGCTTACCATACCATTACATTGTAGTGGGTGGTGTTATGTAACGCCGTAGAAATGTCTTCTTAAACCGTTTTAACTACATCATCCGATTGTGCCGAAGTCGGGGCATAAACTTGAACGATCTTCAGAGAGTATTTCTTTGATAACTTTAGTACAGGGTATGCTACCCGTGTCGACATACTGGAGATTTCTACAATGTTGTTCGTGAGGATCATGTGAACGAATAAATCTACTCCGCCTTGGGAAAGGGCGTCTCACTTCCGAAAGTAGAGCAGAATTACAGAGTAAGTGTGTCCTCCCCCTCTCTTCGGACTTCACTTAACCCTACAATATGCCATCTTATATCAGCTTCCAGCTCGTAAATGTTTCCGCCTTACTGCGAGTCCGTCAATTATACGTCGCCAAGTTCAGTTTTTGGTGGTATTGCCATGACCGCCACCACGGTCAGGAATAATGGGGCGACCGGGAACTGGGGGTCGTGTTTTTGTGGTGCTACTCATGAGAAGATTTGCCCTTAATTGCCACGCTGGGCAAGCGGGTTGGCGACTACGCTTAATCTCATCGTAATTACGGCCCATTTTAAACCAACTTCAAAAAGGAGGAGGTTTAAAATTCATCGGAATATTTTTTTATGTATGTGCACCGATTACTCAAGGACGCCTGAACCGATTTTTAAAATTCTTTTTTGTTTCAAAGGGTATACTTCCCAGGTGGTCCCATTTAAACTTTTAGAAATCGGTCGATCAGTTTTTAAAAAATCAACAATAAATTATATTTATATTGAAGTCGGTTGCACAAAATTTTTAATTTTACCATTTGTTAGAATAGGTTGAAAAAGGAAGTGTTCCCGTGTACCTATAACCTGGAAAACCTGTTGTGCTTGATATGAGTTATATATTTACCTACTTCTTATATCAATGGTGCTTGTAGTGTATTAAGGCTTTAACATGCATGAATGACCTTGATGAAACAGCGATCGCATAGTTTTTAGCCAACGTCAACTCTGTCTAGCGGCTACGATCGGTACTACTCAGACAATTGCAAAGATTAAAATACTGCAGAGGGAACAAGTATGTAGAATAGAATTGAATAAAATTATTATTATTTTATATAGAGATTACAAGAATACTTATTAAAATTCTATATCTATTATCTTATCTTAAAACCTATCTCAAAAATTCTTCTTATAGGTCCTACACCTCTAAGAGGAATATTGGGCAAAACAATCCTTGTCAGTTTTAAAGAAATACAACTAAGTTCATATTGAAAGAAATGCATGTAATTACGAGATTTATGTAAAACGAATACTACCGATAGAACTTGTTAAAAAATTCAAATTCTTATTTTGTGTTTTTCCTTCCAGACCAAATTTAATGTGAAAGGCCTTTTATCTGCAATAATAATTTCCATCAAAAATTACATAGACTTATAAAAGTAACACACACGGTCAAATATACTGAAGATTTCAAATATTATCCCCAGACTACATCGAAATTATTAAAAAGATGTGCTCGAAGAATGAAGGCGGTTTTTCATTTTCGTTATCAGCTTTTTTTTTCAATAGCATCTTTTATGTACTGTGGTTCCTTTATAGGTAGATTTCTGGTATGTCGCGGATCAACAAGTTCAGGCAAAATGCAATCTTCATAAAATGCAAGAAGTTTAGTTTTCATGATGTTTTCAAAATACTCATCATCTCTATGTATAATTTCTGTTTTCAGTGGTTCATTTTGATTTGACCACACGGCGAACAAGCAAATGTTTTTTTTGGTGATATGTAGTTGCCCCTGTATTTGCATGTACCAATCATGGTTTATTGTTACAGCAATCCTACCCTGTTTGTCTTGGACCCAGAAGTTAACTTTTTTGGTTTTAATAGCTTGAGCTATTCCTATTTTATGTGCCGTTATTGGACATTTGATTTCGATGATTGTGTCGTCACAGGCCATCCGGAGTTGCTCCTAGAAATGAAATTTCTGGGTCTATAAAAAGTCCGCAGGGTTTAATTATTACATTTTCTTGCCTTGCCAATTGTTCAAGGGCAAGATTTTCGTTTTCACGACCATGTTTTATAGACTGAACATGGTCTAAATTATGGGATTTGTATAACAACTCTTTAATTATATTTGAGCAACTAGTGTCCTCTTTTCTTTTAACAATGCGTCTAAAATTGGATGCTGTAAGCAATGATCGACGTAGCTCTAGCCATTCACTTGAGCTGCTTTGCAATATAGTTCTTCTTTCAATATATTGCCTTTCTTCATCTGTCCTTTTTAAGTTTTCAATAAAGGTATTCTTAAGTTTCTCCATAAGATCCTCCGATACATCTGGCTTATGACTGTATTCTCCGTAATTTTCATCTCTCTTTGTCGCCAATGGTACTCGCCGTTTATGGTATGTGTATTTTTTGAGAAGATTCAATCTTTTAATCTTTCTGTCCTCGAAAATTTTCATTTGTTCTCGAGGACTTCGTCCTGCTAGGTGTTTATTAAGGGTTGACAAAGGTCTTTGAGAATTAAATGAGATTGCAGCTGCAGTGCATCTCGTTTGATAACTTCTTCGTAGGGAGTGGTTTACTCGTTTTCCACCCACGAATTTTGCAACAATGCTGTGAAATCGTTCCACAACATTGCTGTCTACATCATTTATAAGACTTCCCGAATGACTAGCAAGGTTTCTCATAATAAAACCAATTCTTTGCCAAAGAGAACTAGTGAAAAAATCACTTGGTATTTCATTAAAATTGGTTTCATTTATATCGTCTCTTTCATTCAAGGATTTGCAAAAATAGAATTTACATTTCGTGTGAGTTTCAAAAGCGTGCAAATGCGTAGCTAAAATATCTTCAAAAAGTAAGTTCGTATAAAAATTATCGTTTCCTTTCTCAGAATGATATTTAATGGCAGCGCATATGCTTTTTCTGACAGTTAGAATTCTTTTCTTTGTTAAAAGTTTCCTCTGTTTAATTGGATATTTTGTTTCAACTTGTAGGTTTTGTAACTTATTACATAAATTTCTCATGAGGTGGTTCCTACACTCAATTTTTTCTACAGTAAAATTTTCGTATGGGCGAGCTTCAATTATTTTATGGTAAGTACTAGAGTCTCCGTCAGATATTAATCTTCCATAAATAAGACCGTGTCGCTCCAAAGATTGTTTAAAGCCTTCCAAAATTATAGTGGACTCTATACCAGTTGAAGGGCCGTTAAAATTTTTGAAACATTGATGTGATTTTGGATTTACTTTTTTTCTGTCAGCTTGGGCACAAATACTGCATATTTATTTTTAATTCCCAAGTATAAAATTTTTCCAATTTTTCGTCCAATTATAGCGGCAGCTCCAGACAGTGAAGAATAATTTTTCTTATACGTGCGCTTTGAATAACACCCATCGACAACTACATCAATAACAGGTATCCCATTGTTATTGATTCTGCCTTCTGCTATTGCTATAGCCTTTTCTTCTTCTCCAACCTTAGTCATATTTTCTTCAGCAATTTCTTCCCACTTTTTGGCTATCGTTTCTTGTTTTCTTCTAAATATAGCTGATGATATAAGAGGTAAATCAAGCGCTGAAGCCAGTTCCCGGAGTTGTGAATGACCGCAACCAATAGCAATGGTACCTGCTACAGCTGAGTTGTTTATATCACAATCATCACCATCACTTTCAACATAAAAAACTGACTTGCATAGCTCACATTGAAATTTAAATTTAGATTTAAATCCAGTTTGTTTTTCTCCTACTAGTT